TGACAGCTTTGATTTCACACGAGGTTTTTGCTGTCACACCCGGACACTATGTGACCAGCTCAGTGAGGATGCCACACCGAAGCACTGTATCTCACCTTCTGTGGAATCTGGGCAAGACCTGCTGCAATCACATTGGCTCTTTCTTCTGTTAGGGTACCCACTATGGACCCCAGGGAAAATACCACCACACCATGTTCTCCGGAAGACTGGATGAAGTCTTCTATTTCCTGTTGATGAAATATCAGCCCATTACAAACAGCAGCAACACTTAACAACCTGCATCAAAACTGACACCAACATCCACAGGAAGAAACTGAGCAGCATTAGAAATGATCAGATTGGTGGGTGCTTTAAAACTATTCACATCCACATATAAGATGTAAGTTGTAGTCATGTGTAAGGTTACAGCTCTCTGTGTTACACATACTCACACTCACACAAAAAGTTCTTTTCATCTTGAAAGGCAAGATTTGTTGATATTTAAATCATAGTTCCCTTTCTCCTTTCCTAGTCCCTTGGCCACCCAATATCTGCTATTATTTTGACCTAAATTGGAGTTCTAATAAGGTGTTCAAGTTCTTATTTTATTTCTGTCTCATCACTGGCTAGTTTACTTAGTGTACTGTTATTAAGGACATACCATGTGTTTCTATACCCAACGTTTTAATGTGTTAGCGATTGTTTTTATTTGCACACTATATAATTTATTTAATTTCAGTGATATCTAGGTTGTTTATCTCTTTCTTAGTTACTGTTCTAATGTTGTGAGGGTACAACATATTTTGGAAAATTTTAAAAGAAAGCATTTAATTGGGAGTTTTGTTTTTTTAAGTTTTAGATGGTTGATCTGTGCACATCATAGTGGAGAGCACCATGGCAGACAGGCATGGTACTGGAACTGTAACCCAGAACTAAACCCATACTATAAGAGGCAGACGGATAGGAAGAGACTAAGCATAGTTTATGCTTTTGAAACATCAAAGCCTACATCCAGTGACACATTTCTCCAACTAAGCTACACTTCTTAATTCTTCTTAAACTGTTCATCAACTGGGAACCAAACATTCAAGTACGTGAGTCTATGGAATCATTCTTGTACAAACCACCATGCATGCTTCCCTTCAGGATGAGCATCCTTGCATTGCTATCTCATTGAAGTCCTTTGTTCAGTTCTTTTACATACATTCTCAGGAGGAGAACTCATGGACCACAAATCTATTGCTAATTTTGTTAATGACTGTCAATTATCTTTTTATTTGTGTTCTTTCTCATAGATGTCAATTTCATTGGAAAGAAATTTACTATGTGCTGTCAATTTATGATACTGTGTCCATTACTGAAAATGTTTGTGTAGGTATGTATGGTCAGGGGTGTGTTCTCACTTGTGTGATTGGTCAAGAAAGTAAATAGAGAAATTAAAGTCTTCCTTGAATTTAATGAAAATAAAGACACAACATACTCAAACCTATGGGACACTATGAAAACAGTGCTAAGAGGAAAGTTCATAGCACTAAGTGCCCAATTAAAGAAAACAGAGAAAGCACACATTGGAGACTTAACAGCACACTTGAAAGCTCTAGAAAAAAAAAGCTTATTCACCCAGGAGGAGTAGAAGACTGGAAATAATCAAACTGAGGGCTGAAATTAACAAAATAGAAACACAGAAAGCAATCCAAAAAATCAATGAATCAAAAAGCTGGTTCTTGGAGAAAATCAATAATATCGACAAACCCCTATCCAAACTAATCAAACGGCAGAGAGAGAACATGCAAATTAATAAGATCAGAAATGAAATGGGGGACATAACCACAGACACAGAGGAAATTCAGAGAATCATTAGATCTTACTATGAAAGTTTATATGCCACAAAGTTGGAAAATGTAAAGGAAATGGACATTTTTTTAGATAAGTACCATATACGAAAGTTGAACCAAGAACAGGTGAACAATCTAAATCGACCTGTTAGTCGTGAAGAATTAGTAGCTGTTATCAAAAATCTCCCTACCAAAAAAAGCCCAGGACCAGATGGTTTCAATGTAGAATTCTACCAGAACTTCCAGGAAGAGCTAATACCTATACTCCTTAATGTATTCCACAATATAGAAACAGAAGAGTCATTGCCAAACTCCTTTTATGAAGCTACAGTTACCCTGATACCAAAACCACACAAAGACACAACCAAGAAAGAGAATTACAGGCCAATCTCACTCATGAACATCGATGCGAAAATTCTCAATAAAATACTGGCAAACTGAATCCAAGAACACATTAGAAAAATTATTCATTATGATCAAATAGGCTTCATCCCAGAGATGCAGGGCTGGTTCAACATACGCAAATCTATCAATGTAATCCATCATATAAATAAACTGAAAGAAAAAAAACATATGATCATTTCATTGGATGCTGAAAAAACATTTGACAAAATCCAACACCCATTTATGATAAAGGTGTTGGAGAGACTGGGGATACAAGGATCATACCTAAATATAATAAAAGCTATTTACATCAAGTCGACAGCTAACATCAAATTGAATGGAGAGAAAATCAAAGCCTTTCCACGGAACACAACAAGGCTGTCCACTCTCTCCATACCTCTTCAATATAGTGCTTGAAGTTCTAGCAATAAGACAACATAAGGAGATCAAGGGGATTCAAATTGGAAAGGATGAAGTTAAACTTTCTTTATTTGCTGACGATATGATAGTGTACATAAGCGACCCCAAAAACTCTACCAAAGAACTCCTACAGCTGATAAACACCTTTAGTAATGTGACAGGATACAAGATCAACTCCAAAAAATCAGTTGCCCTCCTATACACAAAGGATAAAGAATCAGAGAGGGAAATCAGAGAAACATCACCTTTCACGATAGCCACAAAAAGCATAAAATATCTTGGGGTTACTCTAACCAAGGAAGTGAAAGACCTATTTGACAAGAACTTTAAGTCTTTGAAGAAAGAAATTGAGGAGGATACCAGAAAATGGAAAGACCTCCCCTGCTCTTGGATTGGGAGAATCAACATAGTAAAAATGGCAATTCTACCAAAAGCAATCTATAGATTCAATGCAATCCCCCTCAAAATCCCATCAAACTTCTTCACAGACCTTGAGAGAACAATAATCAAGTTTATGTGGCAAAACAAAAAACTCAGGATAGCCAAAACAATCTTATACAATAAAAGAACTTCTGGAGGCATTACCATCCCTGACTTAAAACTCTATTACAGAGCAACAGTATTGAAAACAGCTTGGTATTGGCATAAGAACAGAGAAGTTGACCTATGGAATCGAATAGAAGACCCGGATATTAACCCACAAACCTATGAACACCTAATTTTTGACAAGGGAGCTAAAGGTATACAATGGAAGATGGAAAGCTTCTTTAACAAATGGTGCTGGCATAACTGGATGTCAACCTGTAGAAGAATGAAAGTAGATCCATATCTATCACCATGCACAAAACTCAAGTCCAAATGGATTAAAGACATCAACATCAATCTGTCCACTTTGAACCTGATAGAAGAGAAAGTGGGAAGTAGTCTACAAGATATAGGCACAGGAGGCCACTTCCTAAGTAGAACCCCAGTAGCACAGACAATAAGAGAAACAATGAATAAATGGGACCTACTGAAACTGAGAAGCTTCTGTAAAGCAAAGGACACTGTCAGTAAGACAAAAAGGCTACCTTCGGACTGGAAAAAGATCTTCACCAACCCCTCATCAGACAAAGGTCTGATCTCCAAAATATACAAAGAACTCAAGAAACTAGACACTAAAATTCTAATTAACCCAATTAAAAAATGGGGTACTGAACTTAACAGAAAATTCACAACAGATGAACTTCGAATGGTCAGAAGACACTTTTTTTTTTAGAAAGTAATTTTATTAAATTATAAAAGTTTCCATTTCTGCCCCTTCTCCCAACACTCTCCCACTCCCCCCACTCCCTTTCCTCCTCCCTCTTTGTCCCTAAGGGCAGTCAGGGTTTCCTGCCCTGTGGGAAGTTCAAGTTCCTCCCCCTCCCTCCAGGTCCAGGAAGGTGAGTATCCAAACAGACTGGATGCCCAAAATCCAGTATATGCATAGGAAACTATCATCTTACACCTGTCAGAATAGCCAAACTCAAAAACACCAATGATAGCCTATGCTGGAGAGGATGTGGAATGAGGGGAACACTCATCCATTGTTGGTGGGAATGCAAACTTGTGCAGCCACTGTGGAAATCAGTGTGGTGGTTTCTCAGGAAACTGGGAGTCAACCTCCCTCAGGACCCAGCAATTCCACTCTTGGGAATATACCCTAGAGATTACCTAACATACTACAAAAGCATTTGTTCAACTATGTTCATAGCAGCACTATTTGTAATAGCCAGAACCTGGAAGCAACCTAGGTGCCCCTCAATAGAAGAATGGTTAAAGAAGGTGTGGAACATATACACATTAGAGTTTTACTCAGCGGTAAAAAACAATGACATCTTGAATTTTGCATGCAAATGGATGGAAATAGAAAACGCTTTACTGAGTGAGGTAAGCCAGAAGACACTTAAGGACATGCTCAACCTCCTTAGCGATCAGGGAAATGCAAATCAAAACCACTTTGAGATACCATCTTACACCTGTCAGAATAGCTAAACTCAAAAACACCAATGATAGCCTATGCTGGAGAGGTTGTGGAGTGAGGGGAACACTCATCCATTGTTGGTGGGAATGCAAACTTGTACAGCCACTGTGGAAATCAGTGTGGCGGTTTCTCAGGAAACTGGGAGTCAACCTCCCCCAGGACCCAGCAATTCCACTCTTGGAAATATACCCAAGAGATGCCCTATCATACTACAAAAGTATTTGTTCAAGTATGTTCATAGCTGCACTATTTGTAATAGCCAGAAAATGGAAACAACCTAGGTGCCCCTCAATAGAAGAATGATTAAGAAGCTAGAGCTAATGGGAAAAGCAGTAATTTAATTAATATAGTTTCTGTGTGGTTATTTTGGGGCTGAGCAGCCAGAAACAAACAAGCCGTCTCCTATAACATTTTCTAATTGTATTTGAGCCCTTCTCCAGTGGAAGGATCCTGACACTATAAATCTGGATAAAAGTCAAGGAAATCCTAGCTTGGACCTACTATTGCTATTTTTCTAAATGGTCATGTTAGCAAATTACCTTCTAGAGGTTTATATTATATAAATCTTTATTATTATATTATAAAAGCTATAGGCAGAGATCTAGATTGTTCTCAGACTTTTCAGAGAATATTTTTTTGTAATGGAGAATAATCAATTCAGAGACTTATAATTGCTTAAGGGACCAAAAATGAACAGGCCTGTGGTAAGGTTCAAGAAATACTGCTGTAAAATGTGGGAAAGAATGTAAGAACCCAATGATGAGAAGTGCTACGGAACACTTTCTTCTGGATATGCCATGGCCATTGCATTTACAAACTAAAAGAATCTGTCAGCTAACAGGACTTGTATAAGATCAGGAGATCAAAATTTCACAGTAAATGGGGAGGAGCTCCTAATACTCCATTCATAAATAGTAAGCGATTGACAGTCATTGATTCTGAAGGGGGTAAATACTGTTATGTCGGTTGGGTGTACATTGGTACATTGCCCATGATCTCTATGCCCCCTATGAATGCATTTATGCTTCTATAGACAGTACTAATTAAACTTACAGGGTTATTAAAAATAAAATAAGAGGACATAAATTTGGAATTGGGACATATTAGAAGAGATCTAGTGGGAAGTAGGAATGTGATCATGAGATATGAATTGAATATTTCACTGTATCAAGGTAAAAATTCTGAATTAATAAATTATACAAAATCCACCAAACAAATAGGAAGTTTTGTGGGACATTTCAGATTTGGAATATAATTTGAGTTAGGTGCTGTTGGAACTTAAAAAATTGTGGCATTGTCTTCCATGTGTGCTCTATAAGTGAGACAAAATGGAACTTTTGACAGTTCAAGTCTACTTCAAAAGGCTGAAATAAGAGTGACAGTATCCGGATTAGTTGTGACTAAGGGATACAATGGAAATCCTCCCTTCCTGTGATGCACTGGAGGAGGTCCATGTGTCATTCCTCCCCACTTCAGCTAATCCCTTTTCTTCTTTTTTCCAGATTTAGAAAATGTTTGGCAGCAAAAGAGGCAACACTTTGCAATGACGAATATCACAGTCACTACACAGGCAAGCAGGAATCCAAGCACGTCCAGAGAGTAGTACTGGTACCAGGCAAGGTCATGGGCTGCCACACGAAGGTGCTTGGCCCCTTTGTGGCGCATGACATACTCAATCCAGAAGACGGCTCTGTCCAGAGGCTTCACTGGCTGATCATGGTGAATTCTTGATAGCCGCATGACGTTGTCCTTATAGCTAAAGACATCAACATCAAAAACCAATTAGTCTTGTGTGCTTCAAGCCTATGAAAGGTTCAGGGAAAGCAGCACAAGACTCAACAAATGCCACAGAGGAGCACTAGGTACAGTGTCGTTTAGAATGGGACATGTTTGAAGGTTTGCCTGGAAGTTTGTATTTTCTGTGAAATTCTTTCCAAAACTAAAATGGTAAATAATTTTTCTAAGGAAATCTTTCCAGCAGAGCAAAATTCACAAGCCCTTTCTAGCACTGTAAGAGAGGTTGTTCATACAGTTTAGTGATGATCACCTTGATGCTCCTGAGAAGAAACTGTGTCAATATTCTTTGAAAGCTCAGTTAAAAATACTATTAGTGTTTAAATTGGCAACTGGTGAGAATGGAATATACATTGCACAAGATGACTTAAGGACTGTTCTGCAGGTCTTTGATAACTTGCTTATAAATTATTTCCATCATCAAATTTTTCTAAACTAACTTCACATATAGTAAGTCTATTGGGATAATTTACAGTTCTGTTTGACAGTAATCCACATTGGACAGTGTTTGAATGGTATTTATATTGTTGTTGTTTTCAAACTTAGACTAAAGATCAGATGAGTTCTACCGTTCCATTGTATAGAATTTATTTAAACTAGGACCAACTTGAACAAAATCGATGTACTCACGAAGGGTCATTGGTGACTGTCTTCACTGCATGGAGCAAATCGGTGCTGGACATTGTGAGAAAGTCCACTCGAACTCCTGCTCCTTTGGTCTTCATGTGAACAATATTGTCAAACTGGTCTCCAAACAAAGGAATGCCCACCACAGGGATCCCATGGTAGATCGCCTCATAGATGCCATTGGTGCCACCATGAGTTATAAAAGCTCTGGTTTTAGGATGACCTAGCATGGGGAGAAATTAAGGGGAAATATTAAATATAAGTCTGAGAAAGAAAATGAGAGGCAGAGGGAAAAGGCACAGAAAGGGCAAATATTCTCTAGACAACATTAGCATACCCATGGAATGGAAATGAAGTCCTTCCATGCCTTAGAGTATGGAGCATCACAAGTCCATGAATAATTATTGAGGTCACATAGAGGAGTTGGGGTGTGGAAGTCGAATGATTTTTTCAGTGAACAGAAAGGGAGAACTCCTTCCAAGTGGAGTAAACAGTATGTGCAAGCCCAGGCAGTGGTTCAGGAGAGAATGTTCTCCTAAAGAACAGTGAAGCCACTGCTCGTGATAGGTTCCTTCCATGTGGCAGGAGGCTATTGCTCATACTGATGGGATGAGGCTTAGGACAAGTAATACTCCATCTAATATAGGACTGCTTCATGATCTGAAGTTTTGGGGGAGCTAGTAAATGAAGGGTCAGTAACGAAAGAATACCATCCTCACTGGCATTTGAAATTGTGCTACCCTAGAGGAAAGGACAGATGTAAAGATTTAGAACTACGAGGTGAACACAAACATGAAGAAGTGATTTAAGTTTATCTGAATGAAAACTACAGAGGAGACAGTAATGGAATCTCCCATCTCCAATGTTACTGTACAACATATTCACATAAGTTATTTATTGATTTTCTCATGGACTAGATCACATTTGTCATAAATACATTAATGTTGACATACCCCATACTGAGCAGCCATTCCTATGTCTCATGCATCTCCCTATGCTTACCGAGAAGGTCATTCTGGGGGATCCATTTGTACAGCCGAGTGTTGGTGCCCAAGGTGTCTGGTTTCTTGCCTTCAAATCGCCAAAGAACCTGTTAAGACAAAGCTAGCCTCTTATTACTTTGGTCAAATGTCAAGTTACTTCTGCTAGATTTCTGGAGATATTAAGAATCAGTGGAGATAAATGCCAGCCCCTAAGGGTCAGGCAATGAGGATGGATGATAGAGGATGGGCCATGGAGAACTACTACAGCAAGGATGCAAGTTCTCTTCACTGTCCTGCATTTACGCTCATGCTTATTCGAGTTTCAGCATGGCACCTTAACGTTTAGTCAACAGCAGCTTAGGGAAAGTTATGTCCATTAATGTGAAGCAGAAGGAGTTAAGAAATGTTTGAAAGTAATTCTAGTTCAATAATCTACCAAAGTTTGTTTGTTTCTCTAGTAATATAAGAAAGACTTAAAGAAAGTCTTCCATAGTACCCAGGTTCATTTTCTAGCACCCAGATGACAGCTCAGGGCTGTCTCTTTGTAGCTCCAGTTCCAGAAGATATGAAACCCTCTCACAATCATTCATGCAGGTAAACCCTAATGTGCACTAAAAATATTGTATGTAAATGAATGGAACTAGATAAACTATCTTGCGTGAGGTAATCTAGACCCAGAAAGATGAACATAGTATACATACTTGCTTATAAGTGGATACTAGCTGCAAAGCAAAGGATAACTAGGCCATTGTCAATGACCCTGGAGAAGCTAAGTGACAAGGTGAATATTTATATAAATCCAGATGGAAAGGGGAAATAGACAAGATAGCCTGTCTAAATTGGGAGAATGGGGGTGGTGGAAGAAGGGAGAGCCGAAAAGGAAGATGGGGGGAGAAGTGGAGGGGAGTGGAAAACTTGAGAGAACAGAATAGTCGAGATGTAGGAAGGACAGAGATGAGACCAAGGAAAGAGATATGTTGATTGAGGAAGCCATTATTGGGCTAGCAAAAACCTGGCACTATAGAAATTCTCAGAAATCCACAAGGATGATCCCAGCTAAGATCAGAAGCAATAGAGAAGAGGGTGCTCAAATTGACCTTGCCCTGTAGTCAGACTGATGAATATCTTAAATGTCACCATAGAACCTTCATCCAGCAACTGATGGAAACAGAGGCAGAGACCCACAGTGGAGCACTGGGTTGAGCTCCCAAAGTCCAGTTGAGGAGTGAGAAGAGTGAGAATATGAGCAAAGAGATCATGACCATGATGGGAACACCCACAGAAACAGTTGACCTGAGCTAATGGGAGCTCACCAACTCCAGCTGGACAGGGAAGGAACCAGCATAGAACCAAAATAGACCCTCTGAATGTGGGTAATAGTTGCATGTCTAGGGCATACTGAGGGGTCACTGGCAGTTGACTCCAGGATTTACCTCTACTACTTGTGCTGGTTTTTTGGAAACCCATTCTCTTTGGGTGGATACCTTGCTCAGCCGTGATATACGAGGGAGGGCCTTGAACCTTTCCCAAAGCAATGTGCCTTACCATTTCTAGGAGTGGGTGGTGGGGTGGTGGGGAGAAGGTGGAAGAAATAGGAGTAGGGGAGAGAGTGGGAACTGGGACTGGTATGTAAAATGAAAAAAAGATAGTTTGTTTTCTTTTTAAAAAAATAAAAATAAAGAATAAAAGAAAGAAGAGGAAAAGAAAAAAAAGAAATGTATGATTATAATTTCAGTTTAACAGTCCACCAATGGTAGTAATATATACCTTGACTTTTTTCCAATATATATTTATAGCAATTTTACTTTCCAAATTCAATATAAATCTTTGTCAATGATATTTTTATTAGTTCACTTTTAATCACTTTTATCATAGGTATATGTTAGAATAGGTTCTTATAGCATGACATTGTCTAAGCATGTGATAACTCTAGAGCAAGTCTCCAGATACCCCCTACTTCAGCGTTAAAAGCCTCAGTCCCCCAGGTGGACTTGGGGTTGGTAAACCCTATCCTACCTATTCCTTTGAATAATAAGGAAAACATTACTACGCATAAGCTGAGTTTAATATGTACTTGGTTATATTTGGTCAAGATTACAAAGGAATATTTTACTATTATGCAAACTCCTTTAATAAAATTTATACTTCTTTTTCTAATTTGTTTTATTAAAGTGATTTTTTTCATGTAATATGTCCTGATTATATTTTTTCTTTTCCCAGCCCTTTGTCTTTCATCCAAATTCACACCCTTTCTTTCTGTCTCCTTAGAAAACAAACAGGCATCTAACAAAAATAAAATGAGATAAAAGATAGTAAACCAGAATAACACAATGCCATTTTTAAAATAAGGATGTTTTTTAAATTTATGTGTAAGTTAGTGTGTCTGCGTGCCTGAGTGTGTATATGTGATTGTTTGAACAGGTATGGCCTCCAAGGATTCATATGTTTCAATGTTTGGCCTATTGGGAGTGGCACTATTTGGAGGTGAGAGGAAGTGTAGCCTTGTTGGGGGAAGTGTGTCACTGTGGGGGTAGACTTTGTGTACTCGTATGTTCAACCTGTGCTCAAAGTGGCACATAGTCTCCTTCTGCTGCCTGTGGATAAAATTGTAAAAATCTGCCCCTTCTTCCTGCATGATCCTGGCCATGAGAATAATGTACTAAACCTCTGAAATGGTAAGCCAGGACCACTGAAACATTTAAATTATATATGACATATAACTATAAGAGTTGCTGTTCTTATGCTGTCACCCCCACAGCAATAACAATTCTAACTAAGACAGTGTGTATGTACTTACGCATGGAAAATGTGTGCGGGTATCATGACAGGCTGTATAAGGGCCTTGAATCTCATGGAGATACAATCATAGGCAGTTGGGGGCTGATAAACATGGCATCTCAAAGTAAGTTCATGTCCTCTGGGTGAGCAACGTATGCTCTTCAAGGATGAGGCACTTCTCTAGTCATACAACTGCAAAATTTGAGTGCTTCCTTATTGTTACAGGGCCAGTGCACTTACTGGTTATAAGTTAAATGTTGTATAGTTATACTTTAGTTTGTGCATAGTCTTCAGATATCCTCCAGGAAAATGGAGGAAGTAACAAACCACAGTCGTGCCTATAATACCTTCCTTCCATCAAGTTGGCAAACACTTGTGAAATGTTTTTCTTTTTAAACACAATGTTAATAACAAAGTTATTATTCAAAGCCACCACCTAATATTTGGCATTTCCCCCATGTATTTCTGTGTCACAAGTGACCTCAGGGATGAGCTAGATCTAGCATGACAGCTTTAATTTCACAGGAGGTTTCTACAGTCACACCTGAACAGGATGTGACCATCTCAATGAGGATGCAGCACCGAGGCACTGTTTCTCACCTTCTGTGGAATCTGGGCAAGACCTGCTGCAATCACATTGGCCCTTTCTTCTGTTAGGGTACCCACCATGGACCCCAGGGAAAACACCACCACACCATGTTCTCCGGAAGACTGGACGAAATCTTCTATTTCCTGTTGATGAAATATCAGTCCATCATAAACAACAGCAACACCAAACAATTTGAATCACAATTGACACCAACATCCATAGGAAGAAACTGAGCAGCATTAGAAATGATCAGATTGGTGGGTGTTTTAGAACTATTCACATCCACATATAAGATGTAAGTTGTAGTCATGTGTAAGGTTACAGTTCTCTGTGTTACACATACTCACATTCATACAAATAGTTCTGAAACACTTTCATATTGAAAATCAAGATTTGTTGATATTAAATTCAAAATTCTCTTTCTCCCTACCTAGTTCCTTGGCCACCAGGCATCTGGTTTTTTTTCTCTTTGTGTGTGTTATTTTGACTAGTCGAGGGAGTTTGCATAAGGTCTTCTTATTTTATTTTTGTCTTGTTCATTGGCTAGTTTACTTAATATACTGTCATTAATGTCATACCATGTTTCCTATACCCTAAAATTTTACATTTTAGTGATTATTTTTGTATTTGCAAAAATTCAAATACAAAAATTATTGTGTATGATTTTGACCAACAATTCTGGTATTATCTAGGTTACTTCCCCCGTTTCGTAGTTACTGTTCTAATGTTGTGAGGATTAAGACAGTTTCTAAAAGAAAACATTTAATTGGGAGCTTGCTTAAAGTTTCAGATGGTTAATTTATGAGCATCATGGTGGAGAGCACCATGGCAGGCGGGTAGGCAGGGCACTTGAACTGTGACCTAGAACTAATCTTGAAGCATAAACAGATAGAAAGAGCCAGACATGTTTTAGGTTTTTGAAACCTCAAAGCCTATCTCCAGTGACACATTTCTCCAACTAAGTTACACTTCTTAATCCTTCCTAAACAGTTCACCCATTGGGAACCAAACATTCAAGAATATGATCCTATTATTCAAGCCACCATGCTCCCTTCCGTTCAGGAATAGCATCACTATGATCATCCTCACATTATGATCTTATGAAGGTTTTTCATTAAGTTCTTTTACATATATTCTCAGGAGCATAATTCATGGACCACAAATCTATTTCTAATTTGGTTAAGACTGTTCATTCTCTTTTCATTTGTGTTCTTTCTAACAGATGTTAATTTCATTGGAAAGAAATTTACTATGTGCTGTCATTTGTTACTGTGTCTGTTACTGCAAATATATGTGCATGTCTGTTTTTGCCGGAGTTGGTTTTCACTTTTGTGATTAATCAAGAAAATAAATAGAGCCATTGTGATTTGTGAACATGATTGAACATGAAATGAAATGTGAACATTTTCTTTGTTCATACTCCATCTATTTTGTCTCAAATCACTTTGTATAGGACTTGTCTTTTGGAACTCTCTCTGCATTTAATATTTGTGTGTTTTCTACGGTCAAATATATGAAAAGGTTTTATGAAGCAAAATCCTGCTAAATTAATTTAATCCTAATGATAGTCACACTCTTGTGATGGAACAGATAAATTCTACTGGCAGCTTTCTTTATCTAATTTGCCATGACTCTCTGAGTTGATAGACATTCTGAAGAAATAAAATATATTCACTCTTTCTAAAAATTCAAATACAACAGCAGCAAACAAATGGGACTATACTTACCTTTGGCAGAGGCTTGGCAGGTCTGCAATGGAGTCCTCCAACATATTCAAAGTTTGGTAAGACAGGGTGAGGAAATTCCAAATCCCAGTAGGTTCGAATGAGCCAGACATCTGCCTTCCCCATCATCTCAGAGAGGGTCGTGGGTCTTCCTGAAAAGGAATCAGAACAGTCAAGGTAAGAGAGGAAACACAATTGTCAGATGAAGACGATTATGCCAGGTAGTCTTCAGGAAGTAAGAGATCAAGGACCCTGTATGTCTGTGATCCATAGTGTGAGCACAATCCATGAGCATCCCAGCTCTGAGCTCAGAGCCAGCAAAAGAAGCACATCCTGGATTTGAAACCCGAGTCAGCAAAAGAAACAAACACCTTATCCATGAACCCAGAACTGGAGAAAAACACCCCAAGTCTGAATCAGAACCAAAAAAACACATTTTGCTCCTAGAATCAGAACCTCTTTAAAAAAAAAAAAAAAACCTTACCATGGCCCTAAAATTGGAGCCTAAAAACAAAAAAAGGATCAGAGAAAGAAACAAAGTTTGGCCCTGAAGTCAGAGCCATCTCTGCCCCTGTCGTAAAATCAACCAATTGCTGAGCAGGAAAAAACAATTAATCCGTGAATAGGGAAGTAGTAATCTTCAGTCTAGAGGATGACTTTTACCAAGTCTTAGTCTGGAAGGGGCAGCCAATCACAAGCCTGTAGACTTGAAATTCCCCAAGCTTTCCTCTTTATAAAAATCCCCTCCCCACTTGGCTCAGGGTCCTCTCCTGCTCTGCTCCTTTTGCTGCTATCACTGCTGCTGCCACCACTTCAGATGGACTTTGGGACCCAAGTTAACTCACAATAAAGACTCTTTGTTTATGCACAAGATTTGGTTTCATGGTGGTATATCAGAGTTTCAGACGTTGGGCATAACAGAGCACTTTGATTGTAGCCACAGTTGTTTATAAGTGTGATTGAGATAGAAGACATATTTGACTATCTATCCATCTACCTCTCTCTCTCTCTCTCTCTCTCTCTCTCTCTCTCTCTCTCTCTCTGAGTGTATGTTTGACGTAAGTTTGTAATATCATACTTCTACATATATATGTATACACACACCCATACACACATATATACAGTCACTGTGTAAATGATATGGGAGAAGATCCCACATCTGTAACACACCTTGGAAATTCATGATTACCAAATATCTAGATATGCCATTTAAATATAACCAATTTCATAACCTATAAGTCTTGTTTTTCATACTCAGAGAAACACTTTTGCCTGCCACTTTCCATCTAGTTTGTCCTGCCTGAACCTTGATGTGCGCTCCTCTACGTGAACTGGGAATTTTGTACTATTTTGTTGTGTTTTGAGGTTTTCTGATAGAGCCCGTGGTGGTTCCTATGTAACTATGTAGCCATAATTGACCTTGAACTCCAGATCCTCTTCCTCTAAATGTCAACTGCTAGGATTGCAGGCATGTGCTGCCACTCCCATAAACATTTATGGAGATACTTCTTCAGGGGTCTCACTGTATAGCCCAAATTAACCTCAAAGGGATTGTTTGATTATACCTGAGTTCCTTTCCTCATGCTGTTCTTGATTCATGATTGATTATGTAATAATCATGAATGTTGTGGAGACCCGAAAATGTGAGCCTACTTCTACCTTTTCTGATGGTCAGTGAGTTTGGAGGTGTCTCACAATTGTTTACAACAATCAAAATAAAGGTAGAAGTAAAAACTAATCATTTACAACTGACATCCTTACATGTGACACAAAGCATAAGCTCCCCATATGTATATACTCATGTTATTAATAGTAATGGAAGCAATGTAATGATGATGATGATGATGCTATCACACAGGTCAAACTACTGTTTTAAAACATGAAATAAAATGACTTGTTGATCTGTTATTTCTCAGAGAAATTCTTGGAGATTTGTTCTATGCATGTGCCTTTCTGAAGAGTCCCATGCAAGTAATAAAAAAAGGCTTTGCAGGTGACATTGGGACATAAGCTTTTCTATAATCCTTTGAATTTGGCAGATAATTTCACAGCCCCCACCATTTTACTTAGGAGAGATATATCCTCCTGCTGCCTATCCTGTTGTTTAAAGTTCCCCTTGTATGACACAGCAAATATTGAATGCACCAATCCCAGTTGACCATGACACCCAAGACTTCACTGTAAAACTGATTCCACCTCTTCTCGTTAAAATTTTGGAACCAAAAGTCAAAAGAAAGCACATAGATTAGATTTTGTACCCTCTCCATGAATGTCATTCGATCACTCAATTCTGACTGAGCAATGGGCACATAGGAAGGAGGCAGTGGCAGTCCTCCACTGTACTTCTCATATGTGGAACCAGGAAAGTATCGGAGACTGTACACAAGTGGTATCTTGAGAATTTCAGCCAGCAGGTCACCGCAGGGTATGAATGGATCTGCTACTATGACATCAAAGCTTGAATTTTGTAGTTTTGTCATGAGTTCCTTGTTAAAAACTACATCTTTGCAGAGACTTTCAAAATATTTTGAATCTTCCCAAGTCAATTCCTGAAATAATAAAAAGTATCCCCAAAATGATTGCTTTGGCAGCTCATAAACGTATTTCCTGATTGTGTCCATGAAAAGTTCTTCCACTTCAGCCATGGATAAAGATGCAGGATATTTCTCAAACTCAATAGTAGATGTGTTGCCAACCTCATAAGAAAAGGAGGCTGAGGGTATCAGAACAGTCACTTCGTGATCCTTCTTCACAAGTTCATCTAAGATTATCCTTAGGTTGAGCCAATGGCTAAATTCCACTGGCCACACCAGCACCTTCCCCGCACTCCCAGATCCAAAGAAGCCACTCAGCTGTAGGAGGAATAATGTTACTTTCATTTTTACAGACATCTTGTTCAAATTTAGAGCTGTCTCTCTAATGGTGATCGTTCAGCTCTTGTAGATATAGAAAGAGTAATAATTAGTTAAAGTATAACTTGTACACACCAAAGCAAATACACCTGGGACAATCAAAGTTCTGGATGCAAAGTGCAAAAACCAAGAGGCAGATGTGTACATGTGAAATGACTCCTGATTCTCAGTGACTTGAATTTATAATGTACTTGGATAACAGTTAAAAGTAAGATCTCCATTCCTCTCTCTCTCCCCTTGATAAAGAACTTGCAGTAAAAATGTAAGTGTTGAGTCACATTTTTTAAATATCACAGTTCAGTGTGTCTTCCTACAAATGTTGGCACCAGCAATCATTTACCATACTATTTAATGATTATAAATAAATGGTTCAGAGACACATAGTATAACTTCAAAATTATTAACATTGTAACTAAATTTAGAGCTGATTTTATTTAGGGAGAAGTCCTTTTCCTTTTGTCTTTCCATTAGTTTCAGCTCTGCCCAACCAGGAATCTGCTTTCTTGTAACTAGTCATCATGCATGCATGAATATATTCTAATGAGACACTTCTTATTCCCTACTTGACTATCAGAGTATGGAAAACATGAATGCCAAAAATTAGCATCTTCCTGTGACCTTCTGCTGGGAGAAGAAATGTCTAATACCTTGGGAGGCCCCAGGAGTAATCTGACATAGAAGGTCATTTCCAGGTGTTGGCATACACCTGGAAGAGTTTCACAATAGCCCGGAATAAAGTACAACAAAGGTTTATTTATTTGGGGATAAACTCTGAGAAAGGGCAGCTATCCATAATATTCTGCATACACTGAATCCAGCAGCTAAGAGGGCAACAGAAGCTTTTCATCTGCATTTATAGTACATGAGACCACACCCAAAGTGAGCCAGTATAGTAGAGTTCTAAATTTAATACAAAACTATGTACAATAAGAACAAGTACCAAGGCCTCAATATAAATCTGACCACAGTCAACCTGATAGAAGAAGAAGTGGGAAGTAGCCTTCAATGTATGTGCACAGGAGACTGATTCCTAAATTTAAGACCAGTAGCACAGATACTGAGGGCAACAATAAATCAATGTGACCTCTTGAAACTGAGAAGTTGCTGTAAATCAAAGGACACAGTCAATAACAGAAAAAGGCAACCAACTGAGTGAGAAAAGATCTTCACCAACTTCACATTAGAGGACTGATCTTTAATATTTATAAAGAACTCAAAAAATTAGACATCAAAATTCCAAATGATCCAATTAAATAACTGGGTATGGACTATAAAAGAGAATTCGCAACAGAAGAATCTCAAATGGTCAAAAGACACTTAAGGAAAAGAAGACCATCTTTAGTCATCAAGGAAGTACAAATTAAAATGACTCTGAGACACCATCTAACACTAATCAGAATGACTAAGATAAAAAACACCAATGATAGCTTAACCTGGAGATTATATGAAGTAAGGGGAACACTCCTCTACTGCTGGTGGGAATGCAAATTTGTACAATCACTCTGGAAATCTGTATGGTAGTTATCTCAGAAAACTGGGAATCAATCTACCTCAGGATCTAGCAATACCACTCTTGGGCATATACCTAAAGGATGCTCAATCATAGTAAAAGGATATTGGCTCAACAGTTCATAGCGTGTTATTTGTAATAGCCAGTACCTGGAAACAACCTAGATGCCCCTCAACCAAATAATGGAGAAAGGAAATGTGATACATTTACACAAAAGAGTACTACACAGTGGTAAAAAACAATGACATCTTAAAATTTGCATGCAAATGGATGGAACTAGAAAAAACCATCATGAGTGAAGTAACTCAGATACAGAAAGATAAACAAGGTATGTGCTCACTCATAAGTGGATACCAGTTGTATAGCAAAGGTTGACCAGCCTATAATTCATGACCCTAGAGAAGCTAAGCAACAAGGTTAACCCTAAGAAAAACATATACAGATCCTCCTGGAAAAAACATATAAAGATCCCATCTGACAAAATTGGGAGCATAGGGGTTTGTGTGTGTGTGTGTGTGTGTGTGTGTGTGTGTGCGAGAGAGAGAGAGAGAGAGAGAGAGAGAGAGAGAGAGAGAGAGCAGAACAGAAGAGAAGAGGAGGGGAGAAGAGGGAGGGAGAACTTGAGGAAATGGGATGGTCAAGATGGAGAAAGGACAAAGATGAGAGCAAGGAAAGAGATATTTTGATTGAGGGAACCATTATGGAGATAACAAGAAACATGGCACTATAGAAATTTCCAGGAGCCCACAAGGATTATTCCATCTAAGACCATAAGCAATAAAGAAGAGGTTGCCCAAACTGGCCTTGCCCTGTAGTCAGACTGATGGATATTTTAAAGTCACCATAGAGCTGATGTGGAATTCCTCTCTGTATGCTGTGAATACCATTGGCGAATAAAGAAACTGCCTTGGCCTGTTAATACGGAAGAACTTAGGTAGGTGGGGAAAGCTAAACTGAATGCTGGGAGAAAGGAGACAGAGTCAGAGAGAAGCCACGTAGCCCCACTGGAGATAGACATTGAAACTTTAACTGGGAAGCCACAGCCACATGGTGACACACAGACTAATAGAAATGGGTTAAATTAATATGTAAGAGTTAGCCAATAAGAAGCTAGAGCTAATGGACCAAGCAGTGATTTAAATAATACAGTTTCTGTGTGATTATTTCAGGGCTAAGCTTCCAGGAACTAACTGGCAGCCTCCTTACAACATAGAACCTTCATTCATCAACTGATGGAAAGAGAGGCAGAGACCAGTAGTGGAGCACTGGGATAAACTCCCAAAGTCCATTTGAGGAATAGGAGGAGTGAGAATATGAGCAATGAGATGAAGACCATGATGGAAACACCCACAGAAACAGTTTACCTGAATTAATGGGAGCTCATCAACTCTAGCTAGACAGGAAAGGAATTAGCATAAGACCAAACTAGGCCCTCTGAATGTGGGTGACAGTGTATGACTGGGACAGATTGCAGATCCACTGGGAGTGGCACCAGGATTTTTCCTACTGCTTGTACTGACTTTCTGAGAACCCATTTCTTTGGATGGCTGCCTTGCTCAGCCTAGATATAATAGGGAGGGCCTTGGACCTTCCCCAAAGCAATGTGCCTTACCCTCTCTGAGGAGTATGTAGGGGGTGTGGTGAGGCGAAGTTTGAGGGAATGGAAGGAGGGGAGGGTGTGGGAACTGAAATTGATATGTAAAATGAAAAAAGATAGTGCAATCAAGCAACTTCCAAAAGTTGCAAGAAAAGATAGAGGCAACCACCTACCTGGCATTCACCCAAAGTCTCATTTGCAATGTTGGCATAAGCAACTTGGGCTAAGGCCTAGAGTCTCTGACAGATGATTTTCAGAGGCAGGAAAATTTTAAACCTGTTTTACCCTGTCCTGGTAAGGTTTGACAGTCTTTTTGCTTGTATCTTACTTGTCCAGTCTGAATGCCATGCATTTCATTAGTGGTTGAGACACAGACAGTTCCTTGCCCAAAGGCCAGTTTTGCCAAATGGAGTATTTTAGATGTCCAACATTCTCTTGGGAATATTTCAGTGCTGCCAGGCGCTATTGTGTCTCATGTCAACAGAATCCTAAGTTATTTAAATGTCTCGTTCGACAGTTCTTCAAAGTACTTGAAGATTACCTATCGATGAGGAATATCATCTCTATAAATCTAAAAAACCTGAGTAGTCTAACTACAAGTATGACAAACATGGATGACTATTGTCCTCTAATTCTTAATACCTATATAGCTTAAAGACTAAGCTTAATATTAAAAAATTAAATAATCTTTAAACAATGTGCAGCAAGTGAGGACAATGACCTCAAAATGTAAGCAATGTATAAGAATCTTGATCAGAGGTAGAAATGTATAGTGCAATATGATAAGTATAGCCTAAAATTGCATCAATATACAAAATATCTTAATCAGAGGTAGAAACATGCATGTATACAATATGACAAAACAACTTTCCATAGGTACTCAAATATGGTAAACAAAAATAGAAGCATATTCAGTATAACAAATATAACTTGAATTTGTATCAAGATACAAGAATCTATACCAATGTAGGTTGTCTATAAATAAATCTCATAAGTAATATCACTGTTTCTCACTATTATTATTAGCGTGAGTAAGCTCATAGTAATCTATGTATTATCCCATCCATTCCTCTCCCCTCTTTTTTTCAAGAGAGATCACTGAACCAACTTCATTTTCACCCAACCTTATCCTACTTATAACCAACTCCTAATAATGTCCCTAGTCCTGAGGACAAACTTTGTTGGGAGAGGGATGTTTTTAGAATTACTTTCAATTGTCATGGAGGTGATGGTATTTCTATGAAATCCTGTAAAAACTAAAATGATGAATAATTTTCAAGATTACTGTCTGGTACAATTTCAGATAGTCTCTGAGTAGTCAGTACGGTTTTTCTGAAGGTCTTATTTGAAGTTCTGTCTAGAACATTTTTAGAAGGTGCGCCATCACAGCTAGCCAAGTTGGGATCATCTTGAGTAGTTTGTAACCTCAAACCAGTCTTAAAGTGGTGCTATCAGTATAATGGCAATATATCAATCAAGTGGAATTGTAATGAGACTCTGTATTCTTCCTGGAAACTTCAAAGATTACCTCAGTAAAATTTTTTGTTCATTGTAGAAAACTTAAACATTTTTCATATAGACATATATTCAGTGAAAGATACCATGGAATTAATTTTTTAAATTTATTTAAACTTTTTTTCCCAAATTCCCACTCCCTCCCCTCCTCGTGCTCCCCTCTGTCTCCCTCCACTAACTCTCCCACCCCACCTCTTCAGTCTTAAGAGACAACCATGCACCTTGCTCTGTGTAAAGTCCCAGGCCCTCCCTACTGCATCTAGGTTGAGCAAGATTTATATCCATAGGGAATAGGATCCCAAGAAGCTGGTACATGCCGTAGAGACAAATCCCAGGGTCACTATCAGTGGTCCCACAGTCTGCCCCAACTGTCAACCCTCTTCAAAAGGGTTGTT